CGATCTGCGCTCCACATCTTCGGCCTCACTTCGGAGATCGATGCGTCCGTATCGGACAACGCGCTGGAAATCCCCAATCTTTCATCACAGGTGGAGACGAACCTCACGCAGAAGTTTCGTAGCAGGATCAAGCCAGTTCGATTCGGGTCTGCGTTCGGCTGCCGGCGGCTTGAGGACCACCAGCACGGCGACTGCAGGGTTTGCTTGGCCAGATTCGAGCCGGAGTCGGTGGTGAATCGGCTCCCCTGCGGTCATCTGTTCCATCAGAGCTGCGTGGAGCGGTGGATCGAATACAGAAACAACACCTGTCCTCTCTGCCGCTCCCACCTTCTTCCTGCAGACAATTTAGGGCAGCAGAACTCAGTGTTTGTCAGTGGGGCGCGCCCTCAGCTGTAGGGATATTGTACAGGGGAAGGTGAGTTGGGTTTTAAGTGGGGCTTAGAGAAGGGTAATGGAGTGATGGCGCTGCTTATGTTATCCCTCGCTCTTCTTTTTCTTCTTCGCTGTGTATATTGGGATTGCTTTTGTGAATCTGTTGCTGATAATGCCTGAATCTGTTGTTTGTTTTCTCGATTTAGCCGAGTTTTAATTAATTGCTTGATTTTAAATAATTTTCTTTATAATCATTTACTTAAAATCTTAATTTCCTCTTATTTAAAATTAACTTCTATTATATCAAATTTTAGCAAAACCTTCCTATCTATGTAAAGTTCATTCTTCCTCTATTTCAAACAAAAAAGCCATACACAATTTCTTACGGGGAAGTAAATAATAATTTAAGTTTAAATACCAAAAATTAAATTGTAAATAAATAAGCAAATAAACTAACTTTAATTACATTAAAATGATAAACAAAAGAATATGATCAATTTTTGATAAAATAAATTTTATATCACAACAAAAAATGATACGTGGAAATGATTACTTTAAGAAGAAGATATGGAGAATAAATTATTTTAGAATGGGGCGTTAATTTCAAGATTTTTCAATGTTAAATCTTTGTTAATTACAAAACTTGCATTTTTAT